AGCTTGCATTTAAAAAAAAATTTATTTCACTGTAATAGATTGAATAGCAGTTAGCTGTCTGCAAGCGTCTGTGTGTCAGGCTCGCAGCGTATACTGTGCCCACTTGCCCAGTGCCATCACTCACTCACTGGTGTCACAATAGCGTGCATTTAAAAAACAAAAAACTTTTTTCACTGTTATAGATTGAATAGCAGTTAGTTGTCTTCAAGCGGGTGTGTCAGGCCTGCAGCGTGTACTCTGCCAGTTCACAGTGCCCCTCATATCTGGTGTCATAATAGCTTGCATTTAAAAACAAAAAAAACTTTTTCACTGTTATAGATTGAATAGCAGTTAGTTGTCTCCAAGCGTCTGTGTGTCAGGCCTACAACGTGTACTTTGCCAACCTTTGCCAGTTCAAAGTGCCGCTCTTATCTGTTGTCACAATAGCTTGCATTTAAAAACCAAAAAACTTTTTTCACTGTTATAGATTGAATAGCAATTAGTTGTCTCCAAGCGTCTGTGTGTCAGGCCTACAACATGTACTCTGCCAACCTTTGCCAGTTCAAAGTGCCACTCTTATCTGGTGTCACATTAGCTTGCATTTAAAAACAAAAAACTTTTTTAACTGTTATAGATTGAATAGCAGTTAGTTGTCTCAAAGCGGATGTGTCAGCCCTACAGCTAGTACTCTGCCAACCTCTGCAAGTTCACAGTGCCACTCATATCTGGTGTCACAATAGCGTGCATTTAAAACCAAATTTTTTTTCACTGTTATAGATTGAATAGCAGTTAGTTGTCTTCAAGCGGGTGTGTCAGGCCTACAACGTGTACTCTGCCAACCTTTTCCAGTGCACATTGCCACTCATATCTGGTGTCACAATAGCGTGCATTTAAAAACCCAAAAACTTTTTTCACTGTTATAGATTGAATAGCAGTTAGTTGTCTTCAAGCGGGTGTGTCAGGCCTACAGCGTGTACTCTGCCAACCTCTGCCAGTTCACAGTGCCACTCATATCTGGTGTCACAGTAGCTTGCACGCATAGTACCACTAATCAAAAAAAAAAATGACAGGCAGAAGGCAGGCTACCCCGCAGGGGCTGTTGTAGTCGTGGTGCTGTGATTCCCTTTTGCCCTAGAATAATGCCCAGTTTTCAGAGGCCAGGTACCCTGAACTTGAAAAGTTCTGAGGACATAGTTGACTGGCTAACACAGGACACCCAATCTTCTACAGCTTCCGCTCGGAACCTTGACGCAACATCCTCCTCCAGCTTAGCTTCGGGCACCTCTCAAGATACCACTCACCCGCCTGCCGCCAAGACCAACACTAGCACCACAGCCGCTTCACTTGGCATGTCAGAGGAGTTATTTACACATCCGTTTGAAGAAATGAGTGATGCGCAACCATTATTGACAGAGGATGTAGATAACAGGGATATGTCTCAATCAGGCAGCATTACACATGTACAGTGTGATGATGATGATGTTGTACCCAGCACTGCTTCCTTTGCTGAGTTGTCAGATACAAGTGAAGCGGTTGATGATGACGATGCGTCCATGGATGTCACGTGGGTGCCCGCTCGGCAAGAAGAAGAACAGGGCGAAAGTTCAGATGGGGAGACAGAGAGGAGGAGAAGACGAGTTGGAAGCAGGGGGAGGTCGTCGCAAGGAGCTAGTGGCACAGTCAGACAGTATGCACCACAGCCGCTTCACTTGGCATGTCAGAGGAGTTATTTACACATCCGTTTGAAGAAATGAGTGATGCGCAACCATTATTGACAGAGGATGTAGATAACAGGGATATGTCTCAATCAGGCAGCATTACCCATGTACGGTGTGATGATGATGATGATGTTGTACCCGCTGCTGCTTCCTTTGCTGAGTTGTCAGATACAAGTGAAGCGGTTGATGATGACGATGCGTCCATGGATGTCACGTGGGTGCCCGCTCGTCAAGAAGAAGAACAGGGCGAAAGTTCAGATGGGGAGACAGAGAGGAGGAGGAGACGAGTTGGAAGCAGGGGGAGGTCGTCACAAGGAGCTAGTGGCACAGTCAGACAGAATGCATCGGCACCCGGGGTCAGCCTGACAGCACGCCAATCAACGCATGCTGTGTCCACCACCAGAATGCCGTCATTGCAGAGCTCAGTGGTGTGGCATTTTTTTTGTGTGTCTGCCTCTGACAACAGCGATGCCATTTGCAACCTGTGCCAAAAGAAAGTGAGTTGTGGGAAGTCCAACACCCACCTAGGTACAACTGCTTTGCAAAGGCACATCATCGCACATCACAAACGCCTATGGGATCAACACATGAGTACAAGCAGCACACAAACTCAAAGCCGCCATCCTCCTCCTGGTCCAGCATCTTCAGCCACGTCAACCACTGCTGTCCTCCTTGCCCCCTCTCAACCATCCGCCACTCCGTCTCTCGCCTTGAGCAGTTCCTGCTCATCTGCCCACAGTCAGGTGTCTGTCAAGGACATGTTTGAGAGTAAGAAGCCAATGTCAGAAAGTCACCCCCTTGCCCGGCGTCTGACAGCTGGCTTGTCTGTACTATTAGCCCGCCAGCTTTTACAATACAAGCTGGTGGAGTCTGAGGCGTTCAAAACATTTGTAGCTATTGGAACACCGCAGTGGAAGGTACCCGGACAAAATTTCTTTTCACAAAAGGCAATCCCCAACCTGTACTCGATTGTGCAAAAGGAAGTAATGGCATGTCTGGCACACAGTGTTGGGGCAAGGGTCCATCTGACCACTGATACCTGGTCTGCAAAGCATGGTCAGGCAGGTATATCACCTACACTGCGCATTGGGTAAACCTGCTGACGGCTGCCAAGCATGGAATGCGTGGCTCTGCAGAGGAGTTGGTGACACCGCCATGACTTGCAGGCAGGCCTGCTGCCACCTCCTCTACTCCTCCTACTCCATCCTCTTCCATAACCTCCTCGGCTGAGTCCTCTTCTGCTGCTGCGTCTTGCTCCACATCAACGGATAGGGGACGTAACAGGGATTAAACTGATAAGAATAGTACTACTTAACACACCACTCCTATCTGGTGGCACATTAGATTGCACGCGCAGTGCCCCAAATTTGAAGTAGGAGGACCGACCAAGCATCTTTTTCCATCTCCCAGTTCCTAAAATCGATGCCATATACACGTCCCCTGATAGGGGACGTAACAGGGATTAAACTGATAGGAATAATACTACTTAACACACCTTATAATAATGCAGAGAGAGGCAACGCAGAGAGAGGAGTCTGAAAAAGAGGAGTCAGAGGAGGAAGGTGGCTTTGAGGAGGTGGAAGACCAAACACAGCAGGCGTCCTAGGGAGCTTGTTGTCACCTTTCGGGGACCCTTGATGTTGTACGTGGCTGGGTGGAGGAAGAGACCTTCAATGACATCAGTGAGGACAAGGAACGGGACATGGCTAGCTTGGTATCCAACCTTGTGCAAATGGGGAGTTTGCAGTTGTGCAAATGTACTGTTTGCGGTTGTTTGTGTAAGAGTATTTCTGTCGTGTGTCCTTAAGGGGTTGGGGACCTTTGCCTGCTTCTGCCATCCTCCCACATATTGCATTTCTTGTTATAATGGGGTTTTTCACTATTTCAATTTTTAAAGGGGCTTTTCACAGGATAATGTCTTTGGTAAACATGGTATTTTGTTAAGTCTTAGGTAGACTTCTATTACTCCACGGGTTGGAGTAATGCCTTTGGTAGGCAGTTATTGTGCACATTTCCTCTTTGGTAAGAGGTTCACCTTTGGCCAGGTGTTAAGAAGAATTTCAAGCCTTTGGTAGGCTGTGATGTCCTGTGATGTACATTTACATATGGGAGACGTCCCTAGATCCCTCTTTGGTAGAGATTGCCTTTGGTAGGTTGTAAAACAGATTTCCAGTCTTTGGTGGACTGTGGTATTTATTTAACGTAGATGTAAATTTTGCAGACTAAAATGGTTTAGAAAAAAAAAAGGGGTTAAAAGGTATGATGGATGTTTGGCATTACTCCGGCTTGCTAATTTATGTGCTATTTTATGATGTGCAACGCTGATTTTAAGCATAAAGTCTTATTTGAGGGAATGTCAAAAGTACAAGTGAAGGTGATGATGATAAAGAGGAAGAAGAGATAAATTAGAGGTTATTTAAGGGGGGCTACACATTCTAGAACTAACATGATTTCTCTGCATGTATGTTTGTTTGAATAATGAGCCCCTTATTTTTATACTTGGACAAAAGTACTATAAGCCCACTACACTATTTCATGAGAGTGGGATGTATGATTGTTTATATGATGAGCCCTTTATTTTCATATTGGGACAAAAAGTCACTTCATTCAAAACGTCAAACACCACATTCTTTCTGCCCTGTGTGTTTGTTGCAGAGAATTTATGTTGTAAATTTAGATGATTATGAATTAGAGAGCAAAATGTATAATTTCACCGGTCCAACACATGCTTCATTTTGTGCTATAAGCTAACTTGTAGTATTCCAGTACGTCACATGTTGTATGTGCTTTAAATTGTATGTATTTTGTAAATTGTTGTATGGGGTTGCTGAGATTTTATTGCTTGTGACCCAAACTGTGAAGAAGTGGGTTTGAAATTTTGGTCATGAAATATAGGATCAGAAAACCATGGACAAAGGTTTTTACCTGTGTTGATATGACTTTTGGAAACTCAAATTGACCGGTCAAAATTTTGCCATGTCTTTAACATGGAGTAGTATAAATATTTTGAGTCTTTGAGAGTTCTGACAAATGCAGGTGATACCATGTCTGTGTAATCTGGTCCAAATGTTCTATAAGGGTGTAAGAGAGAAATTCTATTGACAGGTTTCATATGTTGCAACTGGTTAATGCAAGTGTTATACAAATGTTTAAGTCAAACTTGTTATATGGCCGTACGGGATCCCTTCTTTAAAAAGAAAAAAATAACCCTTTGGTACCAGAACTCTTAAATAAATCTGATACAAACTAAAATTGGTATACCTTACAATAATATATTCTGAATACAGCTGTTAGAAGTTTATTCTGTGTGAATGGTGATTGTGATAAATGTGTGTTTTGGTTACTCATTTTGAAGTATGCAGTTTAATTGTCATGTATGTTAATGGGTATTTTGCTGTGTTATTTTAAATTATATTTGAATAAGTTTGTCTCAGTATTGATACAGATGGAAATGGCAGCGTAATAATCTATTAAATAACTGATTTATTATTGAATACTAGTCCAAGAGCAATATGAGTTGTAGTCTTAAGAAAGAAAAAAAAGGGGAGTCTGTTTTTGTAAATTTTAGCTGATTTCCAAAATTCTGTTGCAATAATGGACTTCCTGCCAAAATTTGACTTTCCTGTCCAGTTGCCAGGTGCTCTGATCTAATCTTAAGGCCGTACTGCTTGCATAGTTTGCAGACATGCATAATGCACAAACATGAGAACCTATATTATGTCTGTCACAGAGTGTGACATTTATTAATTTATTTTGGATTGAGTTAATTGCCTGTCCATGAATATGCTTTTTGTATTGGCATGTCTGCTGGATATCTGCTAATTTCGTTGTGTTCTGTGTTATAAGACATGTGTGATATTACAATGAGTATGAAAAATATTTAAAGAATATTTGCATGTCATTAACGCAAGCCTTTAGTGTCTTTTTACAACAGATTAAAAAAACGCTGATCAGCCAACAAGAAGGGGCCCCTGGGAAAGAAAAAGAAAAAATATATCATTTTATTTTCAAATCGTGGATCCACGTTTCAGTATTATTAGGGGAGTATTTAGAGTTAACGCTACTTTTAAAGTGCATTGCATTATTTAAGAAAAGAAAAATTTGTTATCTTTAACATAAACAATTGTTATGTTATATGGTTATATATATAAAAAAAAAAAAAATATGGATGTATAGGATAGGTTTTTTCCAAGATTAAGATTCATCTAGTATGCCTCATTGATTATAGCAAAATGATGAAATGGTATTTTTAATAGATATCAGATAATTTCTTTTGAGGCAATTCTAAACTACTGTATTATATTTGTATTGGTATATTGAAAGCATTTTGCAGACCAAGAAGAAAATAAATAATATAATAATTATAAAAGGAACCATACTATGGGAAGAGGTCACCCTATTAAATTGCTAAGGGGTTAAACTCATTTTGATAAGCAAATCAAATTTAGTTTTTGTGCTTAGAATTTTTGATACTCAATTTGAACTCAATTGAAGTATTACAACCATATCCTTGCAGGTATGGGAAACAGCTGCAATATGATTTTAATATTTGCAATATATTAGTGTTTTCAATGTATTCTGACAATGGAAGAGTTCCTAACCTCATGTCTGCATTACACCTATGACCCAGACTGTCAGTATTGCAAACCCTATATGAAGACTCTGCTTTCACTCTTTATGTATACACCCCTAGACGACCGTGCTATACATGCACAATAAATCTTCAAAAGCTTATTAATATTATATCTGTGTGGTACACAAAGAGGGGTACACAAAGAGGGGGTGTGAGTTAGGTCATCTCGACCTGCATATGGAATATGCTTCCTCCTTGTTCACTTTTGGTCAAACTGTTGGTCTGTGACTGGCCCTCTTTGACCCCAACTGAATTTCTTGGGAAGATTCATGAGAAAGATACAGCAGGTTGTTTTGATATAAAGAAAGAGGGAAAAGTATGTTGTATCGGTGACAAAAGGATTGTGATCTTAAGCAGGCGAGACAAAGAAATTTGGGAGGTGATAGGAGATTGAATCAGAAAAGTTTTAGAGGCAGAGGTAGAGAATTTGATCAAAGGATCTAACTTTTGTAGAGGTGGTAACTTCAGCACTGTTTTAATTATGGATAGCAGGGATTCACCCAAAGGTGCTTGTGGTGAACCCGGTTCTCCTGGTCAACCTGGCCCGGCTGGCATTCAAGGACTCGCACCCTGGCAGGTTCCTCAATACCAACCACAACTTTCAAGCTATACCCACACCCAACAACCTCAGCCTAATACACAGATGGTTCATATTTTTAATACTTTATATATAGTTTTGATAGATAAAACAGTATGGCTCTTAGAGGATGTACAAGCTGAAGTTGGGACCTAGACATTGTTTGCATAGGCTACGCAATGTGAAATAACTAAAATAAAATAGGATAATAATAAGTATGCTTGGTCAATTTGTAACATGGTATCATATAGGCATCTGCAATAAAATAAGTGTGTTTCCAAGACCTGACAAGTGAGGGCAACTTAATAACATATGTCTACAGTTTGCTGTCCCTTCCTTATCAGAGGCCACTTGCAACAGAGCAAGACAACTCTTCCGAAACCTGTATTAAACAAAGCACTTTAGAACAATAGTAATTCACTTTGTTTCTCTAGTTGTTCTGAAAAAAAAAATATTGTTTAAGTGGGATAACTGTATGGAGGTTCCACCATGTATTAAAACATGATCACACACATACAGAACTGGTGGCTTTTTGGACATCGGGATCTATAAAAGGTTTCGGTTTCCAAAGATGTTATCAGGGTCCACAAAATTTCTGACAGACTTCAGCATTCCAATTTTATTAAAGTAATTAATTGAGATTATCAAATCAAGGTTTAAGTTTAAGAACAGCATTTTATTGGGAATTATTCCAATATGTATATGTTAGTGTTTTAGTACTCAACAAGCATTTATATAGAATGAGTGCTACTCTCATCCATACAAGGCATTCTAAAGGGAAATTATGTATTAAAATTTTATAAAGGACAAATTCAATGAATTATAAGCAAAACTGAGAGAAGTACATGTTACAATAGTTAAGAGTTTAACTTTAGTTTCTAATTTGAGTTTAGCCTAGATAATTAATTTATTGAATGAGTGCTACTCTCATCCATACAAGGCATTCTAAAGGGAAATTATGTATTAAAATTTTATAAAGGACAAATTCAATGAATTATAAGCAAAACTGAGAGAAGTACATGTTACAATAGTTAAGAGTTTAACTTTAGTTTCTAATTTGAGTTTAGCCTAGATAATTAATTTATTGATGTCGTACTGATCCTTGTGTTTGTATGATTATAGAGACCGTACTGGAGTATTTGTGCCGCCTGATATTTGGGACTACACACCAATCTCTCTGGCTGACCTACCTGCCTACCTTTTTTTGCAATTAAATCTGTTTGGTCAAAAACCATGCTGGCCGAAGAAACTGAGATGCTTACTTATGAGGACATAAACTAACTTGGAAAGTCCTGAAGATGCAGTGCTGTCTAATGCTGCTATTTCTGTATTTCCCTTTCAACAATAGGGGTGTTGCACAGAGTATTATGGTGAACATCCAGCAAACAGAAGAATTAAGAACTATGTGGAAGCTGGCATTGTCTTGTTGTCAGCCATATTGCTACCCTTAGCTATGTTATGGTGTCTAAGATTATGGAACAAAGTTTATGGTGTCTAAGATTCTTTATACTCCTTCAAAGACTTATTCTATTTTTCTGGACTATGCTGGACTATTGAACTATTTTGTTATTTTTATTTTTTTAGTTAGCCGGAGAGAGAGGAAGTGTTAGCTTACTCAGGCATGGATGTACTATGTGTGTCATTGATGTATGTTGAGTGTACCAAGGATGGATTCCAATGTATTAAGTGTGGATATGACTGGACCATCGAAATAGGGATTTGATTAGGAGGCATAGGATGCAAGGTCATGATTGGGATTATTATTAGAATTGCAAACTGATTAGAAATTATCTCATGATTTAATATGTAAGTGGGCCTTTTCAAACTAATCAAGAAGTGTTTCCCAATCCCGATACCTGAGCTATTTACTTACAAGTGCGGGTTTTTATAAGTCAATAATGCTGTCAACATGAGGGGATGACATGTCTACACAGTCATGGCCCTCACTTAGAATTTACCCAGATGCAGGGCCGCCATCAGGGCATGACAACCGCAACGGTTGTCATGGGCCCGGCGGTCCTGGGGGGCCCGGACTGCTCAGGTCGTCCGGGCCCCAGATTCAGTGGGTACATACCAGGGTCGACCCCGGTATGTACCCACATGGCCAGCCTCTTCTCCTGGGGGGCCCAGCAGCCGGTCACCTCAGGGCCCCCCAGAGGCTGGCCCTGAAAGCCGGCCAGCGCGCGAGGAAGCACTCTCTGTGTGCTTTCTCTTCAGCTCCTTCGCGCGCCGCGTACTGATGCCGGAGCCGGAAGATGATGTCATCTCCCGGCTCCGGCATCAGTACGGTGCGCGAGGGAGCTGAAGAGGAAGCACACAGAGAGTGCTCCCTCGCGCGCCGACACCGCCCGGCCAGCCAAGTGACGGGGAGAAATGGGGGGGAGGAATGGAATTTATGGGAGGGGGGGAGGAAATGAAAGAGGGGGGAGGAATGAAATGAGGGGAGGAAATGAAATGGGAGGGGAGGAGAAGAAATGGAAGGGGAGGGGGAATGAAATGGGAGGGGGGAAAGAATGAAATTTGAGGGAGGGAGGGGAAGAAATGAAATTTGGGGGAGGGGGGACAGGAATGAAATTTGAGGGGAGGGGGGAGGCGGGATTAAATTTGAGGGGGAGGGGAGGGGAAGAAAAGGATTTGGGGGGAGAGGAAGGAGGAATTGAAATTTGAGGGAGGGAGGGAGGAGGAAATTGGAGAGGGAGGGGGAGAGGGAATTAAATTTGAGGGGGGGAGAGGAAATGGAGGGAGGGAGGGGAGAGGAAGGAAATTTGAGGGAGGGAGAGAGGAAGGAAATTTGAGGGACGGGGGAGGAGGGAACTTGAGGGACAGGAGAGGAAGAAAATTTGAAGGACGGGGGAGAGGAAGAAAATTTGAGGGACGGGGGAGAGGAAGGAAATTGGAGGGGAGAGGAAGGAAATTGGAGGGAGGGGGAGAAGAAGGAAATTGGAGGGGGGAAGAAGGAAATTGGAGAAAGGGAGGGAGGGGGAGAAGAAGGAAATGGGAGGGAGGGGGGGAGAAGGAAATTGACGGGAGGGAGGGGGAGAGACTGACATCCATCACACACAATGCACCCCTTGCACACAGAAAAACACACAATGCCTTACACACAGACACACGTACACAAGCAATGCATCCATTACACACAGCAACACACAATGCACCCCTTACACACACTCAATGCATCCCTTACAGTCGCACACACTGCATCCCATACATACACAAACTCATCTTGCAGCCCTTACACATACAAACACAGATTCACACAATGCATTCTTTACACACATCAGGACACCCCCCCACACACACTCCACTCCCTGTGAACAAACTCAATGGT